ATTTAATATATAAAAATTATGTGTAAACAAAAGCAATGTAAACTAACCACAAGCCAAAATTGTTTACACTTATCTATTGTTTTAAGCAATTTTCCATAATTTTTTGTTTAATGTCGCCACTTGACACTATTTAAACAGACACATGCACACACATTTAAGCCACAAAAACATTTAAGCAGTCGAAAAATCAAATTTAACACATTGCCGATTGCCGATCGTGCTCATCAACTCAACTAAATTCAAATCAAAGTTTGCGCGCATGTCTTATTCAAATACAAAAATAAACAAGTGAAAAAGCTAATAAATAAATAAACTTTAGTGAAGTTTTGTACAAACATTTGCTCACCCCAGGGAAGTGCGAAAGCCGGGCAGACTACAAGCGCTTAAACGAGCCCATCTGGTAAAATTTAAGCCACAAAATCGACACATGTTGATTTACAGTTGTGCACACACACATGCTTTTATGCAAATGCATAAACACGCGCACGATAAAGAAAAAGCGAATACATTGCTTACAAATAGTTACAAAAAGCGCATGAACACAAATGCTTTTATCGATTTTTCCCCATTTTTTTTTTTGCCAATTAGTGGCTGTTAAAAGAATTTCTCAATTTCTCAACAATTGGAAGCGACATACAAATGGCAAAAATGAAGTGTGATTGAATAAGATACATTTCCAACATGAATTGTTTAAGTGAGTTGCAAGTGCAGTCAAAATGACAGGCCTAACACGTAAATAGCGAGCGAGAAACAGTTGAAGTGCTTTTGAGTAGTGAAGGTTATGTCGAAATATACATATACTATTTGACACAAAACAAACAAATAATATTAATACAAAAAACCGTAAAAAGTAAATAAAAAAACAAAAAATAATGATAATAYAAAAAACCAATAAAAAAAATTAATAAAAAATATTTTATGTGCCACAATATTAATTACCTTCGKTCTGACATTGAATATAATAAGCAAAATTTTCTTTTTGTTTTAATGTTGCGCTTTCGTTTTCATTTTTCCATAACTTTTTATGGTGAATGTAACTCAAAACTTAAACATAACATACAAAATAAATTTTTAAGTTTTATGTGGGAGCAGCCAGAAATATACCTCATAATTTTGAATAACACCAATTTCTTCGTCATATATTGAGATACTGAGAAACGAATGAAAAGCAAACATCGGAGTTCCACTAAAGTATATACATATATAAATGATCAGCGTGACGAGCTTACCCGCTTAGCACATAGCTATCATAGAAACCAACCGATCCAACTCAAGTCCTTGTAAGAAATACTTTTTTATTTGACAAGGTATCGTCAYKAAATTTGATACGTATAAGTATTCAAAGCAACGCTATGATATATGTACGAATAAATTGTTCAGATCGGATTACAATAGCGTGTAGCTGCCATACAAACTGACTGATCAAAATCRCGTGCTTGTATGGTGTACTTTTTTATTTRACAGGATATGTACACAAAATTTGGCATAAATTATTGTCCTAATAAGTGTTCCCATGTCCAGAAAATTTGTTTAGAATGGGCCACAATAGCTTATACCTGCCATATAAACTGACTGATCAAACTCAAGTCCTGGTCTAAATACTTTTTTATTTGACAAGACATCTTCATCATATCTTACACAAAAAATTATTTTAAGCAGTAGTATAATCTTCGAAGAAATTGTTCAGATTGGACAACTATAGCATATAGCTGCCATACAAACTGACAGATCAAAGTCAAGTCTTTRTATGAAAAACTTTCTTAATTGACAATGTATCATCACAAAATTTGGCACAGATCTTCAGTATCGTTACAATATCCAAAGAAATTGTTCAGATCGGATCAGTATCGCATATAGCTGTCATCGAAACTGATCACTCAAAATCAGTATAAAGCTCCTTCATAAGTTAACTACTTTTCTTTTTTTTTTTTTATTAATAATATTTAATTGATTAATAGTTATATGGATATTTGAATGTATGTACATACTATAACTTGATATTATACGCATTCAATTTTCGCTCATATTTTTCAAAACTAAACAATCAGCAAGGGATAAAATTTTAAAAAGATCCATTTCAAAATCCTTGTGCTGAAGACGCGTCGCCGCAACCAATAATTTTTTAATTAAACACATATAAATAGCAATATTTTACTAAGTTCTTGTTTGCTTGTCGCGCAGCCAATCTGTTGCCCATTTAAAGTTCGCACCATACACCGCCGCACAACAACTATTACTCTGACACATACTAAGACATTTCTTCACAAACTTTTTTTATTGTACTTTAACTAMTACTTTTCGTAACTTTTTCTATTGTAAGTGTTAGTTGCTAGTTTATCAGYGCCGGCATTTCCGTAGAGCTCCCCGCCGCCACAATAGTTGGGAAGTTAATCTAGGCGCTATTTCAGACATCTATCGACGTCACTGGCTACTCGAGGCAGCAGCAATGTTGTTTACGCTTTGCGTAGCCACCCGTTAATTTATTTTTGGGGACTACGTACGTGCCTCCTGAAGATCTATTTATTTTTTGTTATGCTTTCTTATTTGCCTTTTTTCGCATTTTCCTCATTTTTTTAACGCATTTTTGTTGTATTTGTTTTGCTAAGCTACTTTTATTGCTTCATTAGGCGTATATGTATGTATGTATGTGTGTGTTTTTGCGAGGTTTTTATCTTAAAAATTTCTGCGCTGGCTTTGTTATTGTTGGCGGCTTTTAATTTTGTTGCGGGGGCTATATCGGTTAACGACAACACGCGCAGCAAATTTATGGAGGCATTCAGCTTTGGTGCAGGGGAGTGTGAAGAGATATTTGCCGCTACAGCACAGCAAAGATAAAGTGTAGAATTTGGAAGATTTTTTTTTTTTTTTTTTTTTTTTTGAAGCAAGCGTTGAAATCGGTATCTTTTTTGGCGCAATGTTTGTTCTTTTAAATTTTTCTAGCTCAAATGTCTATGTCTATCTGTGCTGTCGGAAGTCTAGCGACAGTTGCCCAGTTTCTTGACAAGCTGTGCGGTTAATTTGTGCCAAATGCGTAAAAAGTTATTCCGAAAATTTTCATATACAAATGTCTACTTCTGCTAAAATACCATGCTATATAATATATACATACATATTTTGAATTTGTATTAATTGTCTTCTTTTCTTCTCCTTTCCGCTTGCTTCCAGTTACAATGAAGAAACAAACAGAGCGTCACGCTATTGTCGCCCCCAAGTGATCACACTCGCCTCGAAGGCCATGGCCAATAGCGCGGCCGCCGCTTTCGCCAGCCATCAGCTGAACCAGCAGCAGCCAACGCCGCAACAGTCACCGTACACAACACATCAACAGCAGTCGCAACGTCTGCCCACCACCGTCACTGCTGGCTACGGCAAAGGCCATGACGGACGCGCCATTGTCGGCTTGCCGCGCACACTCTCCGCACCCATCATCAATTTGCAGCCGAAATCTTGCCTCAGCCGCAAAACCTGCCTACACCGTTTGCAAGCGAGCTACAGCAGCAACAGCAGCAGCGATAGTCGCGACAGCGACGAAGCGGGCGCGGCGGCGGAATGCGCGAATTGCAAATGCAATGGACAAAGGTGAGTGGACCAAGAAATATTGCTGTACACATTTGATACAACACAAAGTGCAGTAGCGGTGTTATTGTAGTTGCAATTTTTTTATTTTTATTATAATTTTTTGTTRCTGTGCGATGTGATATGATAGCAGGCGTGCAGCGATTAGTTTTATTTGGCGGTTACTCATACGCCGTGGTATGCATTACGTTCCATTTAATGGTAATGCCGCATACTTGGTTGCCGTCGTGCCTTGTGCTACGCTAGGCGATTTTTTGCAAGGCGTGCAGTGGCTCAACGGCGGTTTGGCGCTGCAATAGCGGAAATGTGACACCAGCTTGGCGCTATGGCATACGGCAAATGTCTAGTTGTGTGTGTGCAGTTATCTTCGTTTGTCGTGCACTTAGTCTAATATAAATCATTTTYGCTTTTTTTATACAATAGGCGCTCGCGTTTGTGCCACATCTTACCGCAATTGCTTAGTTTGGTTTGACGCAAACGCCAACGCTTGTGGCCCAGCGTTATAAATAGGCGACGGTGGTGGCGTACCAGTCGGCTGACGTTATTGCATTTCCCGCAAAGCTGCTGAAAAGTATTGCAAAATGTGCCACAATAACTCATAGCCACACAGGCATACATATGTGTGTCTCGCCCTTTTGGCTTTAATAATCGCATGCAATATTTATTTCAACGCGCCTGCAAACTGCCACAGTTTCAGTTGTCTTTCATGCCATTTACTCGTATTTATTTAAAAGATTTSGAAAGGTGGCTTTCAGCATTTAGTCAGCGGCGAAACGTCATTGCCGTCAGCAGCTGTCAGCCGCAATGACAAGCTATTAAACAAAATAGGAAGAAAATGCAAGAAAATTGAGGAAAATGCTGTTTTTATAGCGAAATTTGTCGGAAAAAATATGGACGTTTGTAGGCCACAAGCAGAAGGCCGCTTTCACTCATTCGTATGGCATGCGTCGCGCTCAGCATTCTTCAAAAATTTCTCTTGCCTTTAAACTGTTCGAAATGAGTCAATGCGTTATTTTGTTATTCTCAAATATATTGCATGTATGCTTATGAAAATGCCTGATTTTATTATTAGTATTATTATTATGTATTTGTACATTTCTTTGTTTGTAAACGGCGGATGTTTCGCGGCTATTTTTGGTTGGTAATTTTCTTGCGACCTTCCTAGCCATGGTTGTCTGTCGCTTGCAGACTTTGATGTATAGTTGCTATAAATTCAATTCTTGGAAATTGAACAGAATGAAATTAAATTGTGTCGAATATTTCAAAATTACTACTTGCTTTTACTTTTTGTTTTTCTTTTACAAAATGTCGCTAAACTGATTGTTCAAAATCAAATTCTTGTATAGAAAACTTTTTTATTTGACGAGATATCTTCCCAAAATTTGGCATGCATTTTTTTAAGACAAGGTTTAGGAAAAAAAATCGGGTGAGATCACTATATCATATAGCTGCCATACAAAATGACCTATCAAAACCAAAACCTTGTATTAAAACTTGTTTATTACTTGAGGTATCTTCACGAAATTTTACTGGAATCGTTACCCGAAGCACGACACAAATTCCGAAGAAATCGTTAAGATYGAAAAACTATAGCATATAGCTGTCATACAAACTGACTGATCAAAATCAAGTCCTTGTACGAAAAACTTTTTTAGTAGACTAGTTATCTGCATGAAAGTTTGCACGGATTATTCCCTAAGATAACAGTATAATTTCCCCCAAAAAATTTTAGATCGAACTATTATAACATATACTGTTATACAAACCGAACGATCAAATAAAAGCACATTTTTTTAAATTTTTCTCAAATAAGAAAGTATATATGTAGTTGAATGTATATATAGAGCGATTTTTTTAGTTATGCTCCAATAAGAAAACATATACATATGTATATGTATGTATTTATGTATATCGCAAAATGTTTTACGAGTTTGCATGTTTTTGGTTATCTAYTAACGCTATCAATCACGCAATTGACGCTCAGATAACCCATGAGCCTAAAGCTAAACAGTCATACAACAAATATTTGGTAAAATTCAAACAAAATATTAAATAATTCTTGTCTTGGATATGTGTGTGTATGTATATGCTATATGCTTATGTGCATTCCGTAAATGTTTTTGTGTGTTATTAACACAAAAATATAAAAATATTCAATCTTATACTTGCATATACATATGTATAYATGTATGTAAATTACACTTATTATCGAATTCATATGTATGTATGTTTCACTCATTATCGAATTCACACCAAACTGCGGTCGCTTTTATATCAATGACAAGATTTGTTAATGATCGCGTACATTAACATTCGCTTAAGTGCATTTAAGGCGATTAATTGCATAGATTAACGTTGGCACGAATAAAGCACAGTGGCTGCAAATACTTAAGCGCGTGTGCAAACATATGTACGTATGTACTATATATGTATATAAAGGAAATTTGGATTATATATTTGGAGATATAAAAATTTTAATATAGTCGAGATTCCTTAAATTTAGCAATAAGCACTGAAGAAATGTTTAGAAAGCAAGTATTTTTTTTT